AAACAAACAAACCCATCACTACTAAAGATACAAAAACAAGCCGGATGTGGTGGCACGCACCTGTAATCCCAGCTACTCAGGAGGCTTAGGTAGGAGAATTACTTGAATCTGGGAGGTAGAGGCTGCAGTGAGCGGAGATAGTGCCACTGCACTCCAGCCTGGTGACAGAGAGAGACTCTGTCTCAAAAAAAAAAGAAGAAAAAATCAACTACACTCAAGTCAGTCCTACGTGACTGCCTGCGTTCTTGAAATCTGGGTGTGTGTTCCTCTCCCTGCTTCTCCACATTGGTAACCTGTGAAACAGTACAGCCACACCGTGTATGGAATGCTAAATCAACCCTTAGTCACCTTCACCATGTAAAATAGAACACAACCGATGAAAGAACCTAGTGCCATGCATGATGCTGTGGGGAAGAGAGACCGAAGGCGAGGCAGAAGGAAGCACTCTCCCTATGGGTTGGCAGCACGAGGGAGAGTCCAGGCAGGGGCATAAGCAGACCTGCAGGTTAGTAAACAAAACCCATGCAATAAGACTCCTGCTTAGTGGTTATGCTGGGGATGAGAAGCCTCTCCTCAAACCTCTGCTCAAGGGCAATTACACCAATCAATCATCTGAATATCCTAAGGGTCTCTAAATTGCCACAGGATGAAACATCTTTAAGAAACTTTCACCCTCAAAGCCAATCATTTCCTTTAAAGAAAAAAGCTGCCCACAAATGCTGACTTTTAACACTTGCCTTAGAAGCTATTTCTAGAAGCTTTGCCTTCCTTTTATTCAGCAAAAATTATCTGGGGACAAGTAACCAAGAACAGTTTAAAAAATACAGCTTGTTTTTGTCTCCTACCCTGATTATCAGTAACAAGAAAGAAAGTCTTTTGGGCCAAGTACAGTGACTCATGCCTGTAATCCCGGCACTTTGGGCACCAGGGCAGGAGGGTTGCTTGGGCCTAGGAGTTCCAGGTTGCAGTGAGGTAGGACTGCACCACTGTAATCCAGCCTGGGCGACAAAGACCCTGACTCAAAAAAAGGAAGTCTCTTTGATAGGGGAGGCCCTGGAGACTGGGCAGAATGACGATGGGATATCCCTCTCAGACAGCAGGTAAGATTTCCCCTTAATCTTCAAATCATAGAAGTAATAATGTTTTAATAAGCGCTAAGACTGCAGAATGCTTAGAATGTAGAAAAGAATAGCATCCTCCATCAATGGGGGGTGTCGGCAGGGCTAGGTCTGTGAAGCCGAGGGGGCACTCCAATTCCAATGTAGCCAACTGGCAAATGCCCAGGAGAGAGACTCTGCATTTGGGGGACACTGATGTCCCAGCATCCCGTAGAGACAATGACCTTACTGCTCTAAGGGCACTGAATATGAAGAAGCAAAAAGAGGTACAGACACCCACGTTCAAGAACAAAGTCAGTCACAGTCATAGAGAAGGCTGATCTGCCCAAGTCTTGCCCTTTGAGTACTCCATTCCCAATCTCCCTACCCATGAGACGGGGGAAAGATGAGAAATACTTGGAAGCCCTTTTAAAAGCCAGCATGCTGTGACTGGAGCTGATGCTGAGTAGAGAAGATGGGCTTTTCTAAGATTTTTTTTTAAGTACTCTATAAAATAAGAGGGAGAGAGAAAAAAAGAATATTTCTGATGTGAAAACCTCCTCTAGTGAACTTTATTTTCCAAAAACCGAGGAGCCGATGGGACAATTCCAGAAATAAAAACAAACATTCTCAGGGGAAACTTACACTGGATGAGAAAAACAGCTCGAGAAATTAAATTCTGTCCACCCAGGGAAGTAAAAATAAACATGCAGACAGCCCTAAAGACATGTTTTCCAGCCGGGCACATTGGAACAATCAGCTAGAAGGCTTCTGGAGAAAGAGGAAGCACGAACCCACAGAACAGAACTACCCCAGGCACCGAGTGCCACAGAGAAGCACCCCAACCCTGCCTCCAAATCCTGACAAGGTGACTGGAAACAGCCAGGCGGAGGAAGCCAGACAGCTCTGAGTAATGAACCTGTCTATAGAACAATCAAAATGAAACCGGAGGGAACAGGGGCTGTCTCTCTGATGGGCCCCGTGAATGGCCTCGTGGCTCGGGGATTGAGGCTGGACAGTGACAAGGGAAGGCTGACTCCTCACCATTCTTTCCAGGGGGTTGGGAATCTGCGCGGCCTTGTCCAGGAGCTCGCTGTACTCCAGCTCCTCGCAGAGCCTCTGCAGTGTGTTCAGGGGCTCGTTCAGTTCCACCGGCATGGCCACCTTGGACAGGTCCTTCCCGATGTTGTTCCTCAGGATGTTCCACAGGCTGATGTTACTGCTGCTCGGGCAGGGTGCCGGCAGGCACGTTCTTCTCCGGGACTTCGCTTCCCCACCACTTTCAAGGACAGGCCCTGAAAGGGAAAGAGGCCTGGTTGTCTCTATAAAGCTTTTCATTTTATTCTATTATTTTTAATCCACGAAAAAAACCTTACCTAGCAAGTACTCAATGTTACTATTAAACTCAGTTGTCCAGAGTATGAAAATCGGCAAAAGAATTCTGAGCAATTAAATAGTCAAACTGACACACACTAAAACCCATCGACTTTATTCACAGGGAAGACCTTGAATTGCTCCTCAAAATCTAGTTCCTCGTAGCTCATACACACTTAGAATAAAACGGGAAATTGGATTTCTATGCCTATAGCTGCTTACTGTTTATAAAAACTTGTAAAGTTTTTAAAAAATCACTTTAAATTCTGGTAAAATAATTGTGTTTATTACAGGAAAGTAATACAGGAAATAATGGTCATTTCATTCCTCCACCATCCCAAAATAGCAGCCATTTATATATTAGAGTATCTTCATTTCATGTTTTCTCCATCTGTGTTGTTCATACTGTAAGCATATTTTATATTCTGCTTGTTCAGCTAACAGAGTATTTTTCCATATTATTTAAAATTTTTCTAAAACATCAGTTTTTGCTCAATATCACTAATCATTAGGGAAATGCAAATCAAAACCACAATGAAATATCATCTCATATCAGTCAGAATGGCAATTATTAAAAAGTCAAAAAATAACATGCTGGTGAGGTTGCAGAGAAAAGGGAACACTTATACGCTACTGGTGGGAATGTAAGTTAGCTCAGTCATTGTGGAAAGCAGTTTGGCGATTTCTCAAAGAACTTAAAACAGAACTGCCATTCAACTCAGCAATCCCATTACCGACTATATACCCAAAGGAACATATATTGTTCTACCATAAAGACACATGCACGTGTATGTTCATCACAGCACTATTCCCAACAGCAAAGACATGGAATCAGTTTCAATGTCCATCAACAGTAGACTAGGTAAAGAAAATGTGGTACATATACACCATGGAATATTGTGCAGCCATAAAAAAGAATGGGATCATATTCTTTGCAGCAACATAGATGGAGCTGGAGGCCGTTATCCTAAGCAAACTAACACAGGAAGAGAAAACCAAATGCATGTTCTCACTTTTTAAGGGGTGTTAAACGTTGGTTCACATGAATAAAGAAGGGAACCATAGACACCAGGGCCTGCTGGAATGTGGAGGGTGGGTGGAGGGTGGGTGGAGGGTGGACAGAGGGTGAGGATCAAAAACCTACCTATTTGGGTGCTATGCTTATGACCTTGGTGATGACATAATCTGTAGAGTAAACCACCGTGATATGCAGTTTACCTGCATAACAAACCTGCACATGTACCCCGGAACCTAAGAGTTTTCTTTTAACATCATTTTTAATGACGGTAAAAATATTTTTTGCCTGTATCTTTGATTATTTTCTTAGGATACAAAGAAGTGGGATTACTCTGTCAATAACTCTGAATGTTGTTAAGACTTTTGATTCACATAATCAGACTGCTTTTCAAAAAGGCTGCCCCCAACTTCCCCATTTATCAGCAGCAGATGTGAGCATCCATCTCCTGAGGACTCTTGAGGCTTGTCATTTTCATTTTTAATTTCTGTCAGATGGTCAGGTGGACGGTGTAACCTCCTTGTTTTAGCTTACATTTAAAAGATTTCCTGTGTGGTTTGGAGTGCTTTCACGAGCACTTCTGCTTTGCTGAATTGCCTGCCTTCCTATTTATGTATTAAGACCATACTCTTTTGTTTTTATATTTGTTTTACAATTTAATCCCCACTTGGCATTTACCTTTAAATTTGCTCCATGGAGTATTTTGATGAATGACACCCATTTTAGGTATGTCAATCTATCAATCTTTTCCTTCGTTTCATGCACTGAATTTCCTATCCTCCATTGTACCTATTTTGAAATGAAATCTCTTGCATTTTGTTTTTTATTTATATATCAATAAACATACTTTATTGATATATATTTTATTAAACATACATATTTAACATTTACTAATTATAAAGCCAATCACTGAATAAAGGGGCTGCTCTGATGAACAGAAACACATGAAAACAGGGCCACACTGTCCATTTCATGTTAATCTAATCATCCAATTAGCTTTTGAATTTGTTTTGCTTTTTTAAAATTAAATCAAATGTTTTTTGAGACAGGGTTTTGGTCTGTTGCCCAGGCTGGAGTACAGTGGCATAATCTCAACTCACTGCAACCTCTGCCTCACCAGCTCAAGCAATCTTCCTGCCTCAGCCTCCCAAGTAGCTGGGACCACAGACGCATGCCAACATGCCTGGCTAACTTTTTGTATTTTTGTAGATATTAGATTTTACTACGTTGCCAAGGCTGATCTCAAACTCCTGAGCTCAAGTGATCCACCCATCTCAGCCTCCAAAGTGCTGGGATTACAGGCGTGAGCCACCATGCCCAGCCTGTTTTAGTTGCTTAATACGGGTAAACACAACATAGGTAAATAGCTGCAAATGGCAGTTTTAAAATTAATTAATTAATTATTGAGATAGGGTCCTTCTCAACAGGCTCACTCAGGCCGAAGTGCAGTGGTGTGATCATAGCTCACTGTAACCTTGACCTCCTGGGCCTAAACAATCGTGCCACCTCAGTCTCCTGAGTAGCTTAGACTACAGACATGCTACATCACTCCTGGCTAGTTTTTGTATCTTTTTTTAGAGATAGGATCTTGCTATGTTGCGTAGGCTGGTCTCAAACTCCTGGCCTAAAGCAATCCTCCTGCCTCAGCCTCCCAAAGTGTTGGGATTATAGGTGTGAGCCACTGTGCCTTGCCTACAGTCATTTTTGAAAACAGTTTTTCATATAGTCTCAAAAAATTTTCTTTGATTACACTAATCTAAATTTTGAAAGAGTGTTATTCCACCACCATCATAACCACTAATACTACTAACAGCTAACACGTATCTGGCATTTTATTCTGTGACAGGCAGTCTTCTAAGCATTTTACATGCATTATTCCCACTTATCCTTTGTAACTACTACTTGTGGTAAACAGTATTATTATCCCCATTTCACAGATGAAGAAAATAAGGCATAGAGGAAGTAAGTATCTGGTCCCAGAACACACAACCACTGAGTGGCAGAGCTGGGGCTAACCAAGGAAGTCTGGTCCCTTAATCCACATTCTTAACCACTTAACTTCCCCAAAGTACCCAGCATAGAGACAGATCCTAATATGTGCCCAGCAGCATTGTGGGGAAGAAATTTATAGGAAATAGTCTAAAAATCTCATGTTTACTATAAACTCAAACAATAATAGTGTATCAAGACCTTGGTCCTAACGTAGGCAAAATGATGCTATGAAATGTAAAGGTTATTTCTGTATCCAATCTTTTCAGTAGAGTATTGATGCTTAGAAATATAATCTCCCCCAAACCCTGGGAATGTCTGTAAAGAACTGGGGGACACACATTTCTAGTATTCAAACACTGACAAAGAAGAAAGCTGGGTTTTGCCCAGTGCTTGTTCAAGAAAGGCAATGTAGGCCAGGCATGGTGGCTCACACCTGTAATCCCAGCAATTTCAGAGGCTGAGGCGGGTGGATTACTTGAGGCCAGGAGTTCAAGACCAGCCTGGCCAACATGGTGAAACCCTATTTCTATTAAAATACAAAAAAATTAACTGGGCATGATGGTGTGTGCCTGTAATTCTAGCTACTCGGGATGCTGAGGCACGAGAATTGCTTGAACCCGGGAGACAGAGGTTGCAGTAAACCGAGATCGCACCACTGCACTCCAGCCTGGGTGACAGAGTGAGAATCTGTCTTCACACACACAAAAAGGCAATGTTAGTTAGCATTCTAGCAACATGGCTGTAGAGTACGATAGAACCAGCTCTAACTTCTAAGCTTTTCCTGGCTGGTGTCAACACAGCATAGCTGTGGTCTTAGATTCTGAACCATGTCCTCTCTTTATCTTTGACCTCTGAACACTCCATTAACTCTGTACTCCCTATGGCTCCCTCTCTATAAGACTCAAAGAAATGGAGGACTTCCACATTTGTCAATCCTCCTCATCTACGGTGGGAGCACCACTTTAGTGTGCGTGCTGTTTGCCAAGGGAGTGATGTTTCTTCATTTCTCTTTCAACTTGCCTCCTTGTTTTTCTAGAAAAATAAGTAGCACACAAATTTGCTCCGGTGTTTTTGGCCTTCTTCTTCCAACCCACTGGTTCTTAGACTTTTCCACTAAGGGGTTCCTCTCCCAAGAAACATTTCAAACAAAACACCAACCATAATGAGCATCTCACTTCTAGCAGGTGTGATACTGAAAGGATACTCTTCCAAAGCATGGTAAAACTACCTGCTTTCTTCCCCTATACTGCAGTCCCCCAAAAGGTAGCTCTTAAGCATTCAGGTAACAATTCATCAGTTCACACATACACAATGAATTGAAGAACACTGAAATATCAAAAAGGTGCCTGGCATGGTCCCTCTCCTCCGTGTAGATATGAAAATAGGTGGTGCTTTGAGTATCCGATGCATAGTGCACACAAACCTAGAGACTCCAAGGCAAACTGAGTACCAACACTGGTAAGTGTTTGATGCTACAAGGACCCACGCAGGGAACTGTCCAGGTGGGCAGATTCTTTTTAAGGGCACCTTCCTAAACAGGCCAGTCTGCTTACTAAAGTCCTAAATCAGAGCTAAAGTTTAGGGGGCTAGCCAGACACTCCAGATATTCCACAGTTCGAACTAGCATTATGAAATATCTTTCCTGCCCATCATTTCCCTTCTTGGGATCAAGCAGTAATAAAGGGTCATCTTAGGATACCCTGAGGGGTCCGTCCAAGAGGTAGCCATTTGTTACTTTCAAATGTGTTGTTTTGAAGAATCTGAAGCTAAATGACGACTTGGATAATATCTTTTATTACATAAGTCCTATCACATTCCTAAATTATAAAACCTCCCTGATATCTAAGGGCAAAAAACCATATTCTAACATGTCCACAGAGAGAACATTAGACTGCAAAAGGGATATCTGGGCCAGGCACGGTGACTCACGCCTGTAATCCCAGCAGTCTGGGAGGCCGAGGCAAGCAGATCACTTGAGGTCAGCAGTTCGGGACCAGCCTGGGTAACATGGTAAAACCTCATCTCCACCAAAAAATATAAAAATTAGCTAGGTATGGTGGTGCGTGCCTGTATTCTCCAGTTACTCCTGAGGCTGAGGCAGGAGAATCGCTTTAACCCGGGAGGCAGAGGTTGCAGTGAGCCAAGATCGTGCCATTGTACTCTCCAGCCTGGGTGACAGAGCGAGACTCCGTCAAAAAAAAAAAAAAGTATCTGTTACGTTTTTTATATTCATATAATTGGCATACACTCACTTTATAAAAATAAAAATTTGTACAAGCAGACAAATTTATTTGAATTAATACATCTTTCACATGTGGGTGCTGTCTCCTCTCCTAGATTATAAAATCCTAGGGGGTGGGGTCCATGTCTTAGTTTTCTTACATAGTACTTGCTAGAGCTCTTTGCTTGTAGCAGGTCCTCTACACCGTTCACCCTTGAACAACACAGATTTGAACTGCATAAGTCCACTTGTATACAGGTGTTCTTCTGCCTCTGCCACCCCTGAGAAGGCAAGACCAACCCCTTTTCTCTTCTTCCTCCTCCTTAGCCTACTCAACATGAAGATGACCAGGATGATGACCTTTATGATGATCCCCTTAATGAATTGTAAGTATCTTTTCTGTTCCTAATGACTTTCTAAATAACATTTTTTTCCTCTAGCTTACTTTATTGTAAGAGTACAGTCTCAAATACACATAACACACAAAATATGTGTTAATTGAGTGTTAGTAGTTAAATCTTTGGGAAGTCAAAAGTTATACATGGATTTTCATCTGTGTGGGGTATCAGCATATACCCCTGAACCCCCATATTGTTCAAGAGTTAACTATACAACATATTAGTATTCTATGAAAATCCAAACATTTCAGAGATTAAATAATGTAAATCTTACCCAAGGTCTGTCTCTCATTATCTAAATCATTACTGAGATTATCTAAGGAAAGATTATCACTTATGTCACTGACGTATGAGTCATCATCAGAAATCTATGGGAAAGAAGAAATAACATTCATTAGAGTTAGAATAAACAAGAGCCAGATTTTCATAAAACCCTTAAAAATGATCAAACATGATGAGTCCCACACTATAAATACTCTTGGGTACTGTTTTCATAAAGGTCCATATACCAATCTGCCAAGGAGGTGTTCACAACAAATACTTGTTCTTAAAATTCTTATACATTCCGAATTAGTTCTCACAAGAAAAACAGCAAGCAAGCTCAAGACTGTTATTATAAAGATTCTTATTAATTCTGACTGTATTTTTAGAATTTATTAGTGTTTGAGTAGAAGGAGTTACAATTTGTCTTTGAGCTATTTGTGTAAAAAGTATCTTCTATGGGAATTAATACATAAACAAGATGACTATGTCTATATTTAAGGGGTAACATTACTAGTACACACTGACACAAAGCAATATTAACTATAATACTATAATAACTGCTATTCAGGAAAGTATAATTGTTATGCATCAATTTAAAACAAATAATGTATAAACCAATATTACAATAACCACATTATGAAAAAAATATAATTATTATATATTATAAATCAATGTAGGTTAAATTTCATGATTAAGAAACATACAGGATGCTAATTTCCTTCTCTGCAGTAGACATATTACATTATTAAATAGGTAGAAGTCAAAATTATTAACCTGTACTTGAAAAGAAATACAGCACTTCGAGAGGCTGAGGAGGGTGGATCACTTAAGGCTAGGAGTTCGAGGCCAGCCTGGACAATATGAGGAAGCCTGTCTCTACTAAAAATACAAAAATTGGCTGGGCATGGGGCGCACGCCTGTATCCCCAGCTACATGGGCGGCTGAAGTGAGAGAATTGTGAAAACCTGGGAAGCACAGAAGGGTTGCAGTGAGCAAGAAGATTACACCACGCACTCCAGCTGGCTAACAGAGTGACACCCCAGTTATCAAAAAAAAAAAAAAAAAAGAGCCCAGCACAAGTGGGCTCCACCTGTAATCTCAGCACTTTGGGAAGGCGAGGCAGGCGATCACCTGAAGTTAGAGTATGCGTTGAGACCAGCCTGGCCAACCATGGTGAAACCCAAGCTCTTACTAAAAATACAAAATAGCCCTGACCGCAGTGGTGCAATGCGTAGTTCCCCCCAGCCCTACTGGGAAAGGCTTGAGGCAGGAATCCTTGAACCCCAGGAGGTCGAGTGCAGTGGAGCTGAGATGCTCTGCACTTAGCCTGAGGCCAACAGGAAACAGGCCTCCCTTAAAAAAAAAAAAAAAAAAAAAGTATAACACAATTTAACATCAAGTTACAGAAATGAGAAAATATCCAATGCTCTCTACTTTTACTTTTTCTTCTCACATACAGTATCATTTTTGGGTATAAGTTATGATAGAACTCTCAGAATACAATGACTAAAAAGGGCCACTGAGTTTAGTGTTTCTGATTAAGGACTGTTTACTGAACAGATTAACCAGCAAAGCAACAAGAGAGATTTTTGAGGCACCTAACTGTAAACATTGTTCAAACCTCATTTTCTGAAGAGCTTGGAGATAAGAGAACTTCCTGAGCATCAAAAAACTCGGAAAGGGAGTCAGTGATGGAGAGTCTACTTTCATTAGAAAGCTGATGAACTAGAGCTCGGTTTTCATCTCGGGAGTTTTCCTATTTGAAAAACAAAACCAAAAATGTATACATTTAGAAACATTCTCAAGAGAAAGAAAATAAGTGATTTAGTTGCACAATACACAAGGTCACAGGCCCATGCAAATAAGCAACTCAAAGCAGAGGTCAGCTCCAACACTGAAAAGTGAGCCTCATGCCAAACACAAAGTTCTCCCCCAATATGGGCACCTCACTTACAGGCACTATCACTTCTCACACACATGCAACAAATCACAAGGCAAAAAACAACTGTCCAGGTCACTCTTTGTTCCATTTAAAAAGGGAAAAATTCCAATGCTCTCTGAATCATATCCTCTTATTTGCTACCACTGCTGGATGTTTCTTTTTATACTAAAATCTCCTCTGCATTGCACTGAATGCATGTCCTTGCATGGCTGGTTCACAGCAACATTGCCTTCTTCTGCCTCTATGCTCTCTGAAGGAACAATATGCTGCTTTGGCTTTTGTCAAGGTGTCCCTTGACAAATACACAGTGTGTTTTGGTCCAGAAGCACCCTGGTAGCAGATAATTTATTATTCATGGATGAATGATATAAGTTCTCTTTGTCTGTCTCTTTCCACCCACAACGACTCTGCAAGGAAAGGAAGTCCCCAGTCCTCTTTATAAGCCTCTGTACAAATAACACAACAGAATATCATTGTTTTCTCATCTCGCATGACCCTCTATTCTCCACTCCGCTGGGTCTGGACTTTCCCTCTGGGGAGGACTAAAGTCCTGAGCTGGCCATGGCAGGATATAACAATGAACCAGACAACGTTTGTGGACTGAATGAGTGGTGAGAAAATGCATCCAACACATATCAGACCAGGCCTGTGGAATAGACAAAGTGCTGGCAAAGTGGAGAGATTGATTCTGATTAGGGAGATTTTGTTTGGGGAGGGCTTCACAGAGGTGGCACTTGAGGAAAAAGAACAGATTCAGGACAGGATGATTTGATTTCTTTCTATCAGAGTAGACAGGTAGTAGTAAAACCACTCACATGTTTTATTGGGAAACAAAGGAGTTGCTTCCATATCATCCAGAATAATCTGGGGAAAAGGCAGATTATATCTTGCCCAGAAATTGTCTGAATTCAGGACACACCCCTCAGTCTCATAGGGAGGGGATGCTACGACAGGAGGGCCATAGCAGATTTTCTTAATAAAAGGCAAGTGGTCCCTTTACAAATTGGTTGCTTCTGTTTGTAAATATGTATCTACAAACTGTTGAAATATATATCCCGTTCCTAAATAAGGCATCTGCCCAAAGTATTAATGATCCTACCCATTTTAATACCCATGTAGCCTTCTGAAAACCTAGCCTCTTCTCTACCCTAACAAAGAGATCACTTTAGAACCTGTAAGTATCATAGCTGTTAACTTCAAGGAAAAGGTCTCTCTCCTCAAAAGAGCCAGGCATAAAGCTATCGAGTTTGAAAACATCGTAAGGAACAACAGCTTCTGTAACACTCACTCAAACAACAGAATTGTCCTGTGTCTTCTGTGTGCTCCTGTCACAAGAGATGCTCATGATTTATTTACTAGTTCTACTCATTAATTTATTACTAGTCATTCCTGTTCTCTCTGTATCTTCCTCCTCCTAGACTGATGGGTTCGAAGGATTTCCTGGCTGACCAACACTGAAAATAATACTCCTAGCCCCTAGCCCTTTCTGGTGTCTTCCTGTATGTACTGAAAACTCATCAGCACTGCTGCAGCTCCAAATCTCCAGCAGGGTGTCGTAAACAACTCAGGACCTCATTTGTTAAAATATTAACCCAGTCAGTTCAATTCAATAATTTCCTTTCACATATGTAATGCATGACTGGTTTCTTATCTATTGCTTACATTACAAAAAGTTAAACCAAGGATGTCCAACCCACAGCCCGGGGGCCACATACGGCCCAGGACGGCTTTGAATGTGGCCCAACACAAATTTGTAAACTTTGTTAAAACATTATGAGATTTTTTTGTGATTTTTTTTCCTGGCTCATCAGCTATTGTTAGTGTTAGTGTATCTTACGTGTAGCCCACGACAATTCTTCTTCCAATGTGGCCTAGAGAAGCCAAAAGATTGAACATCCCTAAGTTAAATAGAGAGAAGGTAGGGAAAGGAACATTCACAGTTCACACTATAACAACCACTACAAGCATTTTGACACATTTTTCTTGTGAAATAATCATGCTATTTTCATATCTCTATATATGTAATTTTATAAAGTTCGCCCAAACAACATTGCAAGATAGATTTTTTCAAAATTAAAATGCATTCTGAAAACAAAAATAGGTATTCAAAACAGAAAATTTAAAAATGCAACTAAATATCACTTCAAGTCCCATTGTATGAATGTGAGAGTGGATGTGGCCCCTATTAACTTGCTGATATTTTCATATTAAAATATTTGTGTACAAATTTTATTTTGAAAAACTGGGATAGACAGTCTACATATTGTTTGCTTCATTCACTAACCATTATATTGTGAACATTTCCCAGACCGTTCAAAATTCTTTGAGACAATGAACTTTAATTGATAAATATTTTATTATATATTTGTGTCACAGAGTAATAAAATCAGGGATGTTTACAGATTTGCAAAAATGGTTTAGTATGTTTGTAAATATATCTTTGCTTGTATCATGTTATTTCTTAGAATCAAGTTTTGGAAGTAGAATTATTAACCTTTAAGGCAAAATATATATTACCTAATCACATCAACAAGTAAGGAAACCTCTGTTTTTTCTATATTAAAGGCACTACATACCATAATTTAGAAAACTTTTGAGCTAATCTGTTTTAATTTTCATTAAGCTGAATAGTTACTCCTTTTTAAAAAACAAGCTTGTAGAGATGTAATGGTAAGGGAGAGGAGCTGATGAATGGGGTTCATGGGACGCTCCCTCGCATTCGTCGTACTTCCCAGTGGAATTAAAAATTTGCGAAATAAGTTAAAAAAAAAAAAAAGAAAAAAAGAAAAGAAAAAACGGACAAACCATACCGTAGTTTCCTCATCTCTCATCTCTCTCCTCTGTGTGTGTGTGCGTGTGTGTGTGAGACAGAGGGAGAGACAGAGAATTATGGCCTTTTTCCATTTACTTATTAAAGTTTTAAGTTACTTGATATTATTTGTTCACTGGTTACATATGAAAAACATTATCACTGATTTGGCATTATCTCAGTCTGTCAATTTCACTGAAAATATTTTTCCCAGTCTATTATTTGTCTTTTTTTTTTGACACACATTACTTTTTCCTAAAAGAGAGTCAGATCTAATCAACATTTCTTTTGCAATTTTTTTCTATTGTACTCCAATTTAGAAAATCTCTATTCTAGCAGTTTGATATTTACATTAATATTTTTCAGTTTGAATTTTTATATTTAACTTGAATTTGCTTTTGATTCATTTCAGCATGCAATGAAGATTTAAACTTCTTTTTAAATTGCTTTGAGCAGGGCATGGTGGGTGGTGAGTGCCTATAATCCCAGCTACTTGGGAGGCCAAGGCAGGAGGATTGCTTGAGTCCAAGAGTTCAAGGTCAGGCTGGGCAACTCCAAAATAATGGTAATTAATAATAATAATGTAATAAACTTCTTTGAGCTGTGCCAACCTAATTTATTAAATAATCCATCTCTTTGCCATTGGTTTTTGATGCCTTTTCGAACCATAATCTTTATTTCTTTTATATACAAAATAATGTTTATGCCTAAGAGAGTTACTCTGTCCCATTCTTACCCATCATCACCTTATTTTAACTGCCAGAGCTTCAATGAGTATTTTATTTTCTGGCTTGGCATAATGTTCTTCATTATCTAGCAGTGTATACTATTGAGAAAGGAATTGCTTTGGCCTCATTAGATGTGAATTTAAATCCCAGCTCTGTCTGTTACAAGCTGTGTGTCTGGAGGAAGTTATTTAACCTCTCTGAGTTTTAGTTCTGTTGTTTCTCAAATGAAACCACCACCACCCACCTCACAGAGTCATGGTTAGGACTCTGTGAGGTAATGCATTCAAGTGCATACTGATACAGCAAGCAGACAATTAAAAGAATTAAGTTCCCTTCTCTTCCAGACTTTTCTTTAAAAGTTTTGGCCTTTTTTAGTCTCTTAAATGGACATTGGATATAGTATGGTGTTACCTCCCAAAGTCCCTTGCCCTTTCATTTGGAATCTAAAATAATCTGAGAACTGGTAACTTGATAATATTAAATCTTCACATTCAGGAATATAAAACAGGAGAAATTTGGAGGTTGTGGAGTAATTTGATTTTTAAAAAGGTGGGCATTTTAGAATTCAATTAGCCAGGCCCAACACCAAAGATGGGTAATATATGCGGCTAAAGAAAAGGTAACAAAGTGAGCAAAGAAAGTGAGAGTTCTAAAAAGAGAGCACCTTGGGCTGACCCCATTGTTGGAGACTGTCATTTCCCAATAGAGTATCAGAGGTAACAGAGTTACTGAAAAAAAGTTAACTGGAGTCAAGTTTTCAGTCTGGGAGGCCATTTTCACTTACTTTCCTACTTATGTCCTGAAGGCAACAATAACTTTACCTTTGCTGGGAAAGTTAGCCTGAGTCACTCCATGATAAAAGGGATAAAAATAAGGGAAACAGAAAATTTCTGAAAGAGGAAATAGATACAGATGACAACTGCATCTAGACTCAAGAAGGCTGTTTTGGAAGGTGTACGTTTGAAGAATGTTATTGTTACCTCTCAAGGACAGTGTACAGCATTTCAGCTTTCAGGTATGTTACTTTTAAGATCAGTTTTAAAATATGCATTTTAAATATATAGTTTAAAAACATGTATTTTAAAAGACTTGTGATTTTGGTTTCCTTTCCAAAACACAAACAGTTCCAAGTAGACATGCCAAGCATAAATTCATAAAAGAATAAATGAAGGTTGTATATTTAATTACCTGTTCAATAAGTAAATTGTGATAATACTATTAAAAAGGTAAATAACTGTCTGAAAACATGCACAAACTCCAGAGAATACCATAGTAAGTGGCAGCTGGTCACTAATGGCTGATCCTGGCCATGACTGGGTCCTGCTTTTAGAAAATGTGCAGATTCAAAAGAGGGCCTGCCCAGGCCTAAAGTCAAGGCACCGTAAGTAATGTTTAGGTGCTCAATGCTGCAGGTGACAGTTTAGGTCTGGGCTAAAATATCTGAAAAGTGACCTCTTGGGGGTAGCATTTCTATAAAGGAATGTCATACTTAACCACTAGCATGTGCCTCAGAAGTAGTAGAGCCCCATGAGCTTCTGTCAGACAGAGGGTGAGGCTCATGAGAGCGGATGGGCCTGTTCACACATGGCACCATATGGTCTCCAAATGGGTTCGGTGCCCGGGGCCCTACAGTCCATATACTGACTTCAGCCTCAACTCGCCTCACCACCCAGCACAATGGCTTCCCAAGGAGTGAAGGTGTGTGAGGGGTTTGTTTTTTTTCTGAGGACAGGAAAAGAAGGATGAAGGATTATGATTAAACATTACAAACTTCTTTTAAAAACTTATATAAACACATACCTCTTGTCTATTACCTGCCTTATATTTTTTATTTTAGGTGTACTCAGTCTAATTCATTTCTTAATAAAAAATTTAGCATATGTGAAGCAGGCATATAATATAAAAAATAGCTTAAAACAGTTTTTATTTTCATTACTCTTTCCTACTTATTTTTTGAGTAACCTACTTGTACTTTTCTGAAATTTCTCATTTTAAACATGCAAAGACTGTTTTGGATAAACATCCCTAGTCTTGAGGAAAGAACTTTTTAACATACTTTTAACTGACCAAGAGACACTTTAATTGTAATGAAGTATTTTTTTCCCTCAGAGTGTACAGCCGCATTCTATAAAAGAAAAATAAAATTGCAGAAAAGGGAGACGGGAACAGCCACAGAGAAAGGGCTAGAGGGGGAGGAGGCTGGCAGGGAACCAAGATACTGCAGGTCAGAGTAATGTAGGTTTCTTCAGTAGTAACAAGAGAAAATGTTTCCCTCTCTATAGTTCCCACTCCAGTACCACTTAGTGAAAGGAGTGACATTTAGGAGCGAAACAGGGTGAAGAAATACAAAAGAAAGAAGAGTTCAGGGGTAGGGAGCAGTTTAAAAATGCAATTAGCAGCATACGCTCAAGAAAGCGTTTGAGCCCGAGACCCCAGTCCATGAGCCAGCTGCGGCCAGCACCCAGAGGAGGAGGGCAGACAGGTGAACAGCACCCACGAGGGGAAGCAGGGAGGCCGTGCAACTGGACAGATGGTATCACAGGAGCGGGTGGCAGCTGAGGAGACATTACCAGACGAGAAACCTACCCACCTCTGCCAGATTGTCACCCGACTTGGCAACAGCGGGGGAGTCGAGGAGCAGAGACTCGGCATGGATTCTGCGTAAGCGTTCTTTAAGATCTGTGTTTTGTGCTAGGGCCTGGAACATGTTAAAATAGTGGGGCTCTGTTAATAAATGGGGATGTTTCAGAAAAGCACAGCAGTGGGCCCTGCAGGAGCAATCTCTAAGAGCTTGATGAAATTCCAGGTGATGTGGTCTGAGAGCACACTTTCTGGACTTTTTCCTTGAATGCTCTCCAAGAGGATACTGGTTCTGAGACGCCTGGGAGATGACAAACTGGAGGTTCTGGAAATGATGCTCCTTCTCTTTTCTCATTCCAGACATGGAAGGAGGGTTGGTAAGCGTGACAGAGAGGGAAGTCACAGACACTGTCAGCTTCTGTTAAGACCGGTGGTCTGGAGTCTCTTTGGTCAAATCCCTTCCTAAGGAATCCAGGCTTCTATCAGCTTTGAAGAATACGCTGTCCCCACCCCTTATGATTGGACATATTTCAATGTTACTTAATTATCATACCCATTGAATCAGATATTAGAACGTGTGCTGGAGGCCGGGCATGGTGGCTCACACTTGTAATCCCAGCACTTTGGGAGGTGGAGGCAGGCAGATTACTTGAGGTCGGGAGTTCGAGAACAGCCTGGCCAACATGGTGAAACCCCATCTCTACCAAAACATACAAAAATTAGCTGGGCGTAGTGGCGCATGCCTGCAGTCCCAGCTACTGGGGAGGCTGAGGTGGGAGAATTGCTTGAACCTGGGAGGCTCACAGACGTTGCAGTGAGCTGAGATCACGGCCTGGGTGACAGAGTGAGACCCTGTCTCAAAAAAAAAAAAAAAAAAAGAAAGAAAGAAAGTGTGCTGTGTGCTGGGAAGTAGGACTTTGTGAAAGATCAGTCAGCAGGAAACCAAACTTAAGAGAAGGTATCACTTAATAAAATACTAGCTATTAAGAATTGGATAGGTAAGTTTAGGTGTATAAACAGATTGATGATAAGGCTTACAATATAATTTCGGAGATAATTTGGTTTCTCCG